GGCCAGCTAATTATTCCGGCAGGCTAATTACCTTGCCGGTAATTAGCCTGCCGTTATATATATATATATATATATATATACTGCTCAAAAAAATAAAGGGAACATTTCACTTTAATTTTGTCTGTGGCTCCAAATCCAGGCCTCCACTGGTTAATAAATTTGATTTCCATTGATGATTTTTGTGTGATTTTGTTGTCAGCACATTCAACTTTGTACAGAACAAAGTATTCAATGAGAATATTTCATTCATTCAGATGTAGGATGTGTTATTTGATTGTTCCCTTCATTTTGGTCGAGCTGTTGCCTTGCAGTAAGAAGGTTCTGGATTCAATTCCCGGCCCTGGTCTTTCTGCATGGAGTTTGCATGTTCTCCCTGTGCATGCTGGGTTTTCTCCGGGTACTCCAGTTTCCTCCCACAGTCCAAAAACATGACTATCAGGTTAATTGGCCTCTCCAAATTGCCCCTAGGTGTGAGTGTGTGTGTGTGCATGGTTGTGTGTCTCTGTGTTGCCCTGCGACAGACTGGCGACCTGTCCAGGGTGTACCCTGCCTCTCACCCGGCACGTTAGCTGGAGACAGGCAATAGCAACCCTCCCAACCCCACTAAGGGACAAGGGTGTAAAGAAAATGGATGGATGGATATAGTTATGGTCTCTACTGGAGGATTCACATGGAAACTGCAATTTTTAATTGTGCTAATGCTGTACACACTAATTTCTCCGGTAAGATTCTGAAGAGTTCAACATGTCAATTCTGTAATGATTTGCATTAAAATTTTATTAAAATCTTTGCTCTCCCAAACATGTGCCAACTCATTGCTTCTGCTCCAAAAATCAATAATTAATGAGCAGCTGAAAGCCTGATGAAAACTGAGTTTGGAAATCAGCTGCAAAAGAAACTGAATAGGTTATGTATATTTATAGTTTCCAAACAAGAAGTGGATTTGATCAGATGGGGATATTCTCACATCTGCTCATAAATCCATGTTGTTTCTCTGATCCCGGATGTCCTCCTTCGTGTTCCTTACGCTCAACTTCAATGGGAACGGTTAATCTGAGTGCGATAATCGTTCTGAACCTCCTAACGGGCGTTACGCACACACATCTGTGCTCTGTTAAAGTGATCGGTCGTTTCTCAGATACAAGCAGCCGGACAGTTCCAGAGGGGGAAGACCCCTGCCATGTTATCTGAGGTGTGGGAGGAGAGGGAGGGGAGGATGTGGAGGAGGAGTAGAAGAAGAGATCCCAGCAACACGAGAAAACTCCCAGATACAAAACCATAACAGTGGGACAAGCCTGGTTACTATGTGGCAGAAATAGGAGTGGAAATTGGGAAAGACCCTGGGTTCAATAAAAGAAGTTTAAAGTGACATTTAGAGATCACGGTAACTGAAGGTTGAATTCCGTCTGTGTCTGGAAATAGCACATATTAGGGATCATATAGTTCTAAAAAGGATCTGCTGCGAAAGGCTTCAGGGGCTCAAAAGCTTCAGTAATGCTAATGAAGTAAGACAGCACCCACACAGCGGCTAAAATCGGTCTGCTTCCACGGCTTCTTTGTGGCAGCCGCCCAGAGGCTTGGAGTGAGCTCCTGGGAGAAATTTACAAATTTATCCCTGAGAGCTGAGTGAAATACTATCTGCCTCCCGACGGCAGATATCGCCCCGCGGCCTGCACGCCTTGCAGCAGATGTTTAATGGATTCAGGTGAGCTGCTGAAAAGGGCGAGCGTCATTTTAGGATGATTCATTCATTCATGGCGTTTTTAGCCACTTCAGAATTACAAACGACTGAAAAGGCTGAGCAATATAAACGCAACAGGGCACGTTTTTCCCTGGTTTTCACGTCTGTCATGATGCTAATTTGATCTGAGATTAACAAGTCAAGCAGCCTGCAGCTTGTCTTATCTTGTCTAATTTGACAGGTGGAGATTAGCGTTATTGCAGAAGGCTGCGATAACACAGCCTTCAGCATTAAAAAGACCGAGGAAGCATGATGACAATTAGCAAGGTCAAAAGGTCGTCTTCCAAAGTGACCTTTTGGAAGACGACTTTCCAAAAGTGGAACCTTTTGGTAGACGACCTTTTGACCTTGTTAATTGTCATCATGCTTCCTCGGTCTTTTTAATGCCAGAGATCCCAACGGGAGGGGCGCTAAGGGGGGGGACAGGCACGGCTCCAGGCGAGGAGGGGCAGATTTGGAGAAAAAGTGTGGATGCATAACCACAACAGGTGGTGTTGATTTAAGAGAGTTCTGCCTTTTCCTTTTCCATTTGCTGGAGCCGAACCCAATATATGACAAAGGCAGATCAAAGGATGCTTCGCTTGCGCTGCGCGAAAATCCTTGTCAAACCTTTCAGCTTCCTCCCAAGAGCACTGTTTTTGCTCTTTCTGGCGTGCGCATTTCCTCCCCTTCTTCCCAGCTTCTTGTATGGAAGAATTACTCACAGATGCTGAACACAAACTGTCATTTCCCTCAGAAGGCTCTTTTGCAGATTTACTTTTAACGGCGGGTTACCACTGTTCTGCTAATAGTTTGGTCTCCCACGTGTGCTCGGGAGCAAGCAGAGTGCAGGAATGGAGCAGATGTAAGGAGAAAGGGAGAGCCCGGCATTTTTCTTCTCTTTTTCTTTTTTTTTTATAACAAATGAGATTATTACACAGCGGACTCAGTGAAAACTCTAAACGGGCTTTGCAGTGTAGGATTTGGCTGTGCACCAGATCTCATCTACCCCCACCCTGCACAAATCACACCTTGTCAGCTTCAACTGCTACCTTTACCCACACACACACACACACACACACACACACACACACACACACGCACACACTTGTGATGACATACCAAAACACATCCAACTCAGACAGAAAACACACAGTTCTTTTCATCAACTCACGTAGAGTCCTGAGTGTCTGTCACCAAAGAACGGGAAGGCGACAGAGATTTCCCGGAGCCCGGAGCCTCCATCGTCCTGGGCGGTGGTCTGGGTGTCCCCCTGGTCAGGACCAAAGGGGTAGAAGTCCTCCAGGGACACGGCAGGTTCCACCCCGGGCAGCAGGGTGCAGAAGCAGGGCAAGAGGGCTTGCAGCACCAGCAGCAGCATGGCCTCGGCCGCCCAGGGATGGAGCTGACAGCAGGCACTGTGGAAGGGAGGGAGGAGCTCACGCACCTCAGGCAACAAGTGCAGAGTGGAGCAGAACAGGACAAGACCGGACGCTTTTTCCTCCTCTGAGCCGCAGCGAAGCCGGAGTCCTCCCCGACTGCTGCCCCCTCCTCGGATCTGCCTCTGCCTCCCCTCTCACTCGTTCTTTCAGCAGCAAGCTGGGCTTCTTGTGCTAGACGGGCGAATACAGCAGATTCCTTGCATTCTGCTTGCTGCCGGCCGCCGCGTGAGCTTACAGTCCCGTCTCACTGAAATGAAACAGGGTAAGAAATGAAAGAAGAGGGGTGTGGGGGGAGAGCAGCGTGATTCAGCTGAGATGTTTTTCTTTTTTTTTCCCCCCCTTTTTTAAAAACAATCCAGTGATTTGGTCCCTGATGGTCAGCTTAGAAATATCCTCAATAAAAGCTCTATTCTGCTTGCCAAAAGAGTTCTTTCAGCTTTTGGCCCCACCTCCCCCACAGGGGATTCACTACCTTGCATAATTAACTCCGTCCGGCCAATAGTCAGAGAGAGGTCGGTAACTGGATAACCACTGGGTGGATCTATGTTAATCAAAGGGCTGCTTTAAAGAAAGTCTGTCAGATTTTTCCCCTGCACAGTTAACCTCTCTCTATGTGCAGTTACTAACATGTTGGCTTTGAGATGAAAAAAAAACAAAAAAAACAAAACAAACAGAAAAAAAACTCACACAACATACAGAAAAGATATCAAGAGAATATTAAGCTTGATTAAAAGTAAGAAATATTTGAAAAACAGGATCATTAAGTCTTAATAAACACTTTCTCATGCATATTTGTAAATGTCTGAATGTTTTTATTTGAAATAAATGAGCAGAGATGCTCGATGTGGTCGTGAAAGTTTACAATCTTTTTTGCCTGAAAATGATGGTGACTTTTTAACATTGCAGCACATGATAATATTTTTCGCAATGTGACACGATGCAAAACTTTCAAACAATTCTACATTTGCATTCACTAATAATTAAAGTTAGTTATTCTCATTTGGATCAATTAAACAATGAATTTGATCGTGTCAGAAAATGGCCACATGACCATGATAACAAATGGGTGTGCAGATCAATCAAAACCCAAATTAATGAAAGGTTTTCATCACGGGATAATTGGACAGATAAAGTTCTCCTAGCCACACAAAGCAATCCCACAGAACAATGTGGCACATCCAGTTCACGTCCGAACAATGCGCTTATTGTTTGTTGTTGTTGAGCTTTCTCGCAGATTAGCGTAATCCCGCACGCATGTGTGTCTGCAGGGCGGCTGTGAACGCCTCGGCAGCGCGTTTTGTGCGCTTCCAAGAATGGCTGTGGCTTGACACATGCAGATGTTGGAAAGTTTCCAGGTGGACAGCGGAGGAAGAACACAGAGGCGCCACATACTTCACTGCCTACACACCGGGTTGTAGCATCTGAATGAAATATTCCTGACGCCTTCTCGTCTCTCGATCGAGCTGCTCTTTGAGAGCCAGCACCTGGGGGGACCAGGAAGGAGGAAGAATGTAGATAATTATAATAAGAGGATAAGAGGAGGTGAATATTTTTACAGCTGCAGGTATAATACCTGTTCCTCGAGGTGTCTGACCCTCTGGCAGTGAGCCATCTCTCTGGTCTCTAAGGACAGCTCTGCCCGGAGCCGACTGTCCCTAAGGCGCTCCGTCTCTAATTCCAGTTCCCTGTGATGATGGGCTGTCACCTCCAGGAGGTGCTGTGCATGAGCGCGCTCCATCTCTGGGATTTGGATCTATCAGCAGTTTGTTCAGTTTTAAAGGATTGAAAACAGAGAGTAGAAAGAAAATGATAAATCAGGGAAAGGGAAAAAGTTCTTGTTCACTTTTTCTTTTGTAATCAGGAAACTGAAGGGACTTTTAAACTGACAGTTGTTTTTTCCAACCACAAATTAAAAATCATTTTTAGTACAAAAAAAATAAAAAATAATAATCGGCAGTGGTGGAGAAAGTACTCAAAAAATGTACTTAAGTAAAAGTACAAATACACAGTCAAAAATGCACTCAAGTAAAAG